TATGTGCCAGTCTTGATGTGTAGCAAGTCTTCTATGTGCCAGTCTTGATGTGTAGCAAGTCTTCTATGTGCAAGTCTTGATGTGTCTTGTCTGTGTGTCTGTCGAGTATTATAGTGTGGTCTGCCAGGATACATCTAGTGATGATCTGGTTGAGTGTGAGTAAGTAGCCTGACCAGTTGTGATGATCATCGCCTGAGCTATTATACTCTGGCTGTGTTTATGGTTGAGATAATGTGGTGAATCAGAGAGCAAGTGGTGTCGAAATGTTTGCAGGTGATTGTCGTGATTTACGCAGGTGGTGTATTGACCATTTACAGTTAGGATTATTGACCATTTACAGTTAGGATTATTGACTGCTGCTCGGCAATTGCCACCTTTGTATTTATTGTTATTCTTTAAATATTCTTATAAAAGCTTTTTTTTATTGCAGCCTATGTTTATTATATGTTAATTGATTACATATTATTTTCATTAATCATTGAATTTGTTGATGTTTATGCAAGATTAAATTGATGATAAATAGGCTTAATGATTTCAAATTCTTTTGAGTGGATATGCTATCTTGGCTGATAATAATTGATGTGAACAAGTACATAGGTGAGAGTAATTCAAATTTACAGAAACTTAAGTGATTCGTATTGACCACAATGTGTGAGAATTATTGTTGTTAATACTGCTCCTTCGTGGCGACGGAGAGGCGTAGCCTAGCGTTCACATCCCCCAGGGAGTATCTAAGACCGCATGAGGCTTCAGCGTGAGAATTATTGTTGTTAATACTGCTCCTTCGTGGCAACGGAGAGGCGTAGCCTAGCGTTCACATCCCCCAGGGAGTAGTCTAAGACCGCATGAGGCTTCAGTGTGAGAATTATTGTTGTTAATACTGCTCCTTCGTGGCGACGGAGAGGCGTAGCCTAGCGTTCACATCCCCCAGGGAGTAGTCTAAGACCGCATGAGGCTTCAGCGTATTAATTTATTATTCATTCTTTTATCCTAGATTGTTTGCCTATATTCTTTTCCTTTTGCTTCCTTCCTTTTCGTCTGTATCTCTCTGGATGGTGAGATCTAGTTGTCTGCGCTCCATATGACCAAGATTGATAAATATTTGGGGCCAGATTCACGAATCAGTTACGCAAGCACTTACGAACCTGTACATCTTTTCTCAATCTTTGGCGGCTTTGTTTACAATTATTAAACAGTTAATGAGCTCCGAAGCACCAGGAGGCTGTTTATAACAATAAAAACAGTTGATTGGGAACTTTTCATACTTGTAAACTATTTAATAATTGTAACCAAAGCCGTCAAAGATTGCGGAAAGATGTACACGTTCCTAAGTACTTGCGTAACTGCTTCGTGAATCTAGGCCCTGGTTTGGTTAAGTGGTAAAGTACTTAGTATTGAAAGTTCACCCAAGTTATACGCTGAGCCAGCCACCAAGGAGGCCGTTAGTGAGTCAAGATGTTATTTGGGGTGAAGCAGAACATTTCTGCGGAACAGGACATCTTCAACACCCTAGGAGACGACTGACTCTAGTGTGTACTGAGTAGAGAATAGAGGCGCTTCCACTACACCGGACAGTGACAGTACACCGTACAGTGACAGTACACTGGACAGTGACAGTACACCGGACAGTGACAGTACACCGGACAGCGACAGTACACTGGACAGTGACAGTACACCGTACAGTGACAGTACACCGGACAGTGACAGTACACCGGACAGTGACAGTACACCGTACAGTGACAGTACACTGGACAGTGACAGTACACCGGACAGTGACAGTACACCGTACAGTGACAGTACACTGGACAGTGACAGTACACCGGACAGTGACAGTACACCGGACAGTGACAGTACACTGGACAGTGACAGTACACCGGACAGTGACAGTACACCGGACAGTGACAGTACACCGGACAGTGACAGTACACCAGACAGTGACAGTACACCGGACAGTGACAGTACACCGGACAGTACACCAGACAGTACACCCGGACAGACAGTGACAGTACACCGGACAGTGACAGTACACCGGACAGTGACAGTACAGTACACCGGACAGTGACAGTACACCGGACAGGGACAGTACACCGGACAGTGACAGTACACCGGACAGTGACAGTACACCGGACAGTGACAGTACACCGGACAGTGACAGTACCCCACAGTGACAGTACACCGGACAGTGACAGTACACCGGACAGTGACAGTACACCGGACAGTGACAGTACACCGGACAGTGACAGTACACTGGACAGTGACAGTACACCGGACAGTGACAGTACACCGGACAGGGACAGTACACCGGACAGTGACAGTACACCGGACAGTGACAGTACACTGGACAGTGACAGTACACTGGACAGTGACAGTACACCGGACAGTGACAGTACACCGGACAGTGACAGTACACCAGACAGTGACAGTACACCAGACAGTGACAGTACACCGTACAGCGACAGTACACCGGACAGCGACAGTACACCGGACAGCGACAGTATACTGGACAGTGACAGTACACTGGACAGCGACAGTATACTGGACAGTGACAGTACACTGGACAGTGACAGTATACTGGACAGTGACAGTACACCGGACAGCGACAGTATACTGGACAGTGACAGTACACTGGACAGTGACAGTACACTGGACAGCGACAGTATACTGGACAGCGACAGTATACTGGACAGTGACAGTACACCGGACAGCGACAGTATACTGGACAGTGACAGTACACTGGACAGTGACAGTACACCGGACAGCGACAGTATACTGGACAGTGACAGTACACTGGACAGTGACAGTACACCGGACAGCGACAGTATACTGGACAGTGACAGTACACTGGACAGTGACAGTACACCGGACAGCGACAGTATACTGGACAGCGACAGTATACTGGACAGTGACAGTATACTGGACAGTGACAGTACACTGGACAGCGACAGTATACTGGACAGCGACAGTATACTGGACAGTGACAGTACACCGGACAGCGACAGTATACTGGACAGTGACAGTACACTGGACAGTGACAGTACACCGGACAGCGACAGTACACTGGACAGTGACAGTACACCGGACAGTGACAGTACACCGGACAGCGACAGTACACCGGACAGCGACAGTATACTGGACAGTGACAGTACACTGGACAGTGACAGTACACCGGACAGTGACAGTACACCGGACAGTGACAGTACACCGGACAGTGACAGTACACCGGACAGTGACAGTACACCAGACAGTGACAGTACACTGGACAGTGACAGTACACCGGACAGTGACAGTACACCGGACAGCGACAGTATACTGGACAGTGACAGTACACCAGACAGTGACAGTACACCGGACAGTGACGTGTACTAGGCTTGAGTTCTAGCGCTGAGAGTGAGGTAGGACAAGTGTTGAGTTGCTCAGAGTGCAGCGAGGGTAAGTACACAGTACCCATTGACTATCCATTACACAGGACGTACACTTGAGCACCCCCTTTGCCAGCCACTTGGGCTGGACGGTAGAGCGGCGGTCTCGCTTCATGCAGGTCGGCGTTCAACCCCTAACCGTCCAAGTGGTTGGACGCCATTCCTTCGCTCCGTCCAATCCCAAATCCTCATTCCTTCCAAGTGCTATATAGTCGTAATGGCTTAGTCCTTTCTCCTGATAATTACCTACCTTGATTACCCCCTTAACTACTCCTTGAGTAGTTAAGTTCTGGCTGTGTGACCTTTGCTTCTCCTCCTTGACTTGAAGCGGCCGAGGGCTCTAAGTCTCTCACCACATTTTCAATACATAGAAGAATCTTAAGGAAAGTGGCAGATTCGACAAAGACTTTATATTAACCGTGAGTAAAGGTAGGGTGGGAAGACATGAGTAAGGGGCATGAACATGAGTAGGATGAGTGAGCATGATATGAATCTACACACCTCGCAAGTGAATTGCTCAGAATTGAATTGAGCGAATTGAATCACGAATTGAGCGAATTGAATCACGAATTGAGCGAATTGAATCACGAATTGAGCGAATTGAATCACGAATTGAGCGAATTGAATCACGAATTGAGCGAATTGAATCGCTCTTCGTGTGGGAAGAGTGGAATGGACTGAAGGTATGAAAGAAATAGGTAATTGCAATCAAAATGTCAATAAAAAATCATAATTAAAAGCAAGAAGATTGGGACCAAATACACCATGTAATTAGCGTCGGAAAGGCGGGGGCCAGGGAGCTGAAACTCGCCCATCTGTCTGTGTGTGTGTAATTGATATGTGCTTGCGTGTGTTTACGAGTGCCAGGGTAAATATAAGGTCGTCAGTAGCCAATTCTCTTTGGCAGTGATTGGCCATTCAACTTCATTTTTATGCCATTAGCTATTCACACAGCTTGCTCCATGGTCGGGTACACAAACACGCCTTTACACCCAACCCGCCCTCAGGCGCTGATGAAGTATTCAACGCCCTTGTATCTCGCCCATTAGGCATTCGGATCCCTTTGATGAATGATTACCTTGTCATCAAGGCTTCCGCCTGAGCTTCTGAAGACTGCCAACTCACTTGTGAGGATAACACAAGCACACAACACTCTTGAGAGGATAGCACAACAACACGACACACTTGAGAGGATAGCACAAGCACACAACAGACTTGAGAGAATAGCACAAGCACACAACACACTTGATACAATATAGGCCAACAACACAATGCTCTTAAGAGGATAGCACAAGTACATAGCTCACTTAAGAGGATAGCACAAGTACATAGCTCACTTAAGAGGATAGCACAGCTCACTTAAGAGGATAGCACAAGTACATAGCTCACTTAAGAGGATAGCACAAGTACATAGCTCACTTAAGAGGATAGCACAGCACACTTAAGAGGATAGCATGATACAATACACTTGAAAAGATATCACCACACTTGACAGCATATCACCCACACTTAAGAGGAAATCACGACACACACTTGAAAGGATATCACAACACACTTGAAAGGATATCAAAACAACACCAATAATGAACACGTATAATATATTTGATATTAATGATAACATATCACTATCATCGGCACATAATTATCAGGGTAGAAACACCAATGTATAATACGACTCCTTTATACTTGTTGATCAGCGACTTTCGCCCTTAGTTAAAGCAGCAATATGGTCGAGAATGATGAATTACATGATCGTTTGAAAGCGCCAGTGAAAATCCGACGTTTCGTTTTTGTTTTCAGAGATTTCCGAATCATGATGGGAGTGAAAAGGTTCGGTCTACAGACATAAAGCAACATATTAGCTGGCAAATGAAGGCCGAAAGGCGCCGAACACGTCATAAATATGGCTTGTTGTGGTGAGAGGCTTAGGCACATGTTAGACCAGAAGGGGGTGGAGGAGGAGGAGGAGGGGGAATGAAGAGAGAGGAGAGCAGGAGGAGGAGGAGGAGGGGAAGGAGAGAGGACTTCACTTCAGGGTGCTTAGTGAAGAAACTTTTGAAAAAAATGGGGTCCTTAAAAAATCGATATATTTGGTTCAGGTTATATACATGATCTTACCTCGGGGGATGATTCAATTTTGTTGGTATCGTCTGGGTAGCCAGACTGCTTATACACATTTCAGAGTGATCCCACCGAGGTACTCAAACATACACCGCACGTCCATATACGCACTAATGTACTTTCAGCTATGAACGTCCGCTTCGAGGCAATACTCTGTTTTGATCACACTGGTACGTACTGACGAGAAAATGGCTGTATCGATGTGAATACTGTTGATTAAAAATGATACAATCCCAAGTGAGGGAGTCGAGAAGAGTCTGATCTGGGCAAGCTCTTGGATCTTTGTCGGCCTCAACCTCTTCGTCCCGTGGTCCCGTCTCCATTTCTTTAGACCTGCGTCGAGTTCTTGAGGAACTCGATGAAAGCCAACTGAAGCTGGAGTGACAAGGAGGTCTTTGGATAAGTGGGAACTCTGGTCTCCTACACTTGACCTGATGAGCTCCCCAATCCACCCAAACACGCCATGAATCCTAGAGTGCCTGTTCGATGCTCTGTAAGTCCGGTGAGCCTCTACAAGATCCGCTGGTGAGGCTTGGTGCTACGCCTACCAAGTCGCACTAGGCCTGGTGAAGAAACTATTTCAATTGACTACTCGAGTACTTAATGAGTTACTGCAAGGTCTACCGAGTTCCTCTTGGTTCTAAGAAAATACTGCTCGACTTGGTGACTTGCTGAAAAGCAAATAAAGTTACTAACGTAGTTCAAGACTTATCTAGACAACTCTAAATAACCTCCAAATTCAGTCTTGAACATTTCATGTCGAAAAGCTACAGAACAGGTTACTATTAACCCGAACGGGAAAACACAAGACTTTGCAGGGTAACCTGGGCCAGGTCACTCCCAGTAGACCACTGACTGGCCTACACGTCCATGGTCCATGAAATATCTCCGTCGGCTTCCAGCAACTCTAAATACACTGGCAGAGGAGAGGCAGACAAAGGCCAGCCACCGGAATTCAACCCCTTTCTCGTCATAAGCACTGGGACAAGAGCACTGATGGACTTTGTACATTAAGACGCTGTCGGCTGCACAATGATTTGTTGATTAATGGAAGCTTAATATATTTGGTTATATCCTTATCTTCACGGCCATTGATCTTCAAAGGAAAACAGGATATGACACAATATGTGAAGAAGTGAGTGTAAGGAGGATAAAACTAGTGCCATATTGTTATGGAATATTCTTGGCAAATATCACAGACTGATGTTAAGGAATGTCCAAACTATGACACAGAATTATGTTGTTTAGTTTAACGAGTGACGTCGCTGAAGGTCCAGAAGTGGTCGTGCCTCAAGTGAAGATTGTATCCTCATCTGGTGAGGAGTTCTGTGTGCTAACGAGCAGTTCTGGAGGCGATGGTGGCAGCGATGCCTTACATTAACTTGGAATCGTTCTCATTACATAACCGCACAATAATCTATAGATAAAGTTCGCTGTAATTTTAACCTTAATCTCACTGGGCTTCACAATTCCTGGGAGGGTCGCAAGAAAGGAGAGCGGTCATGTTAACAGGATTGACCATTAAGGGATGGAAAATCCCCTTTTTTTTTAGGAGTAAACAATTTGATAAAGGATCTTTACTCACGTTGAAAGCGATTAGTTGTTTGATAATAATGCAATATTAGCGAAGGAAATGTTAACAAATATCACACAGAACACCGATGTATAGGCCGTTTACCACAGAGGGACACAGAGAAGAACTTTGTCTTCAAGGGCAGAGCTTCTCCCAAGAACCTTGTAACACACGTCTTCAAGAGTAAAGCTTTCCTGAAGGCCGCCTTAACAGGGTGGATACTGATGCAAAAAAAGATCTGGAATTACTTCGAGAACAGGTGTCTTAGGTACGGGATTGTCATCATCATCATCATCTGGTGTACGGAGAGCTTTACTTGGAAATGATCAGTTGGAGTTAGAGTGCCTTTGCTGTCCTCCGATGGAGGAAAAGCTGGCACAACATAACTCTGGAAGGCTGGGTAGTATGTACATGGTAAAATATCACGTTGAGGGAAAACTTATGTCGTCATTAGTGGCACGGTGGCCAGAAAGAACATTACCAAGTTGAAGGAAAAGTCTTGGGATATTCTTCTAGTTCGACTTTCTCCCTTATCACTTCCCAGTGGCAAACCTTATAAAATAAAGAGTAATGAAGCATTCAAAGATTCATAAAAACATGGTGAATGATTTTTTGGGGATATAATGGAGATATAATGGTGTATAGCATCTAATAAAACAAATCTTGTAAATATATTTTGGTTCTGTTGTCTCGTTGTTAGTCACCGCGGAGTCGAGAACCACGATGTGGAGCTCCTGCGGAAGACCGACTCACTCCAGCAGACAGAAGAAGGCAACGGCACTGGTGCTTCTCGCCGGCTGCCTCACCCAAGTATTCTTCCATACAGGATAAACAGGAATACTATGGATCCATCACAGAAACCAATGCAAAACATTGTCTGGGATCGTCTACAAATTGAGCTCCTGATATATTAGGGGATCCTTAACAACGGCACGACGCCCACAGAGTGTGTGGTGGTCGCAGCCGTAGGCCCACTAGGAGAGGCCCTTCTTGTTAACAAGCGCCGAGAGTCTCTGCAGGTTGGTAGTGGTCTGGGGATCGCCGGGTGCCAGTGCCAGTGCCTCGTCATAGTGCTTACGTGCCTCATCCAGCTTGCCATTCAAGTGAAGAATGGCACCAAGGTTACGGTGGCTCGAGACATCCTGAGGAAGAAAACGGAGAAACGCTTATTTTAAGCAAGAGTTAAGGGGGCATATTCATGTAAAATTAAAAGTGGTTCAATTTGCTTATAAATTTTTTTATGAAATGGTTTTAGAAAGGGCTGCAGCTGGTCCAAGTTTCATCATCACACCCTAAACAGAAAAGGAGAAAAAAAATAAACAACGAATTATGCAACGAATTTTCAAATAGTTTCAGGGAACACATGTGTCAACTAAAATCATTTCTATAACACTCAGATATTAAATTAAGTACATAATAAAGGATTCTAGTGATCAGTTTTATCAAAAAAGTGTTTAGTGCAATAATATAATTTTTCAAAGTTACCCTACTAAAAAAATATGCAATTTATGATATTTATAAATTTTTATAAAATCAACAAATAGACTTTGGACTAAAATGTCTACTAGAGTCTGTAGAAACACAAACGCTACATATAAGGTGTAATTTGCATGTAAATTGATTAATAAATGAAAGCTCTGAAGTACTTTGAAGGTGTAAATTACTTTCCAGAGTAAAATAAAGATCCAAGTTCGGCCACCTGTAGCTGAGCTTGACTTCGACAGATTTCGTTCATAATTGGCACCCTTGCAGATAGGCATCCATTGAGCAAGGTGTGCAAGTTTCATGAAAATCCCTTGATAACAAACGAGAAAAAAAATTGGCCAAAAAAAAAAATAAAAAAAAATAAAAAGGAAAAAAAAAAAAAATTTAAATATAAATATATTGAACATACATATTACAATTATTACAAGAGTTTGTGCTTCTACAGCACATAGTAGACATTTTAGTTGAAAGATGTGTTCCCTGAGATTATTTGAGAATGTTGAACATTCGTTGCATAATACGTTGTGTATTTTTTTTCTCCTTTTCTGTTTAGGGTGTGATGGTGAAACTTGGACCAGTTGCAGCCCTTTCTATAACCATTTCATAAAAAAATTTATAAGCAAATTGAACAACTTTCAATTTATAACGATTTAGAATGATATGCCCCCTTAAAACAAACCTAAAATCAAATGTGATTTCCTATCGCATGTGAGGCCGATTGAGCTTCGGCCTCACAAGCATGGGGTTCACAGTTCGAGTCTCCTAGAGCCCAAGTGAATGGAATAAAACAAACCTATTTTGTTCTACCAATAGAATAAAACATTATATATGTTCATAAGGAAACACATCAATACATTTATAAAAATTCAAAAGACTCATAAAATGGTTGTTCATTTATAACTGAATTTACAAGATTTTAAGCACATTATTAATTTAGACAAGGAAAGGTATTAGTAGTACTGATTAAGTGCTGATTAGTACGTGGAAAGGCCCAGCACTGATTATTGTAATTATAAAATGATAAAGAGTATAATAAAAACGAAGCCCATTTTGACAATATAATGAATAACAGGAACAAATTAAAATAATTTAGTTTTTAAACAGCATTAATAGATAAATATTAAGACATGAGAAATAACAAATAACTATATTTCAAGCAGAAAATTATCGTGATATATAAAATTTAGAAAACTAACAAAACTAAATATAACATGGAATCACGGAAAGTTGACAGCCTATGTAATTGACGTCGTCAATAGTTTTGGCGGCCAAGCCTGGATCACGCTCCCACTGAACCCATAGCTTATGAAAGAGTGATCTGATTTCAGCAGGATTTAAATTGCTTGTCAACATGTCACTACTCTGTGACAGTTATTTCTCAGTATTGTCAAGTACCCAGCGGGCAGTTTAGCTCCTGACTAGTTTATATTTTCTATACTGTAAACCTGCTACACTATTAAATACATCACTCATTTTTTTAAGTTGTATTTTCTCACACTCAAGTTGATTTTGCTGGTAAAGCTTGAGTTGACAGTGACACGGGATTGTCAAGTGTAAGAGAGGACAACACACCCGGTAGGAGATGGCAGTGAGGGTTAGGCTTGACACCCAAGGAATGTCTTTAGCATTTCCGCCAGTCACAAATAAGTTCACCAATGTCAGCATTTCGTAGGGACCATAGTTCACATCCATACAAGGTGAGACATTGACTTTTAAATGTCGACCTTTTGTTAGTTTTCATTCGGCCTGGTATTTTAATTTCCTGACCTCTGACACCATCAGAAAATGTCACGTATAGGTCCATTAACAGAGAAGCTTAAACAAAGCTATTTTTCATAACAATAGTAGGCCTAAAAAATCTATTTTGCTCGAATTATCCAGTTGATAAAGCAATTTTATTTTGACGTAATTAAACAAAGGTTTAAACAAATATACTTTAACGTAACCAACCATTTGTTAAAACAAATCAATTTTGAGGTAACTAACCAATTATTAAAACAAATCTATATTGAAGTAACCAACTAAGACTAACCCATAGTCCAGATTTCTAGAATTTAAAGTTTTCAAGTGTAATTTATTGCATATTATCATCCGCCTGAAACATTTTCACTAGCTTGTCTTGAAAGGTGATAGTAGTGAATATTCTCCCTCCTGACTCTCTATCTCTCTGCACCAAAGCTTCTACGGCCAGCAAATGGATTTGCATCACCTATAGTTCCTGCATTGTGAGTCAGCATCTTGCAGCCTCCGTTGGTGCTACATAGCCTTCCCGGTTTGGTGCCTTCTGTTGATAATTACTTACTTGCAGACTCTGTAAAGATAATATAAATATGTTGCGAGGTGCTGACCTTGGGTCGCAGCTGGACGGCCCTCCTGTAGAAGGTCTCAGCGTGCTGGTTCCTGCCGGCGAGTCTGAGGGCCGTGGCGGCGTTGAAGGCGGCCGTGTGGTCCGTGGAGTCGAGGAGCGCGGCCCTCAGCCACGCCCCGACCGCCTCTTCAACACGGTCCTGTTCCAACAGCAGCTGACCTGTAGAGGTGGAGGTAGGGAACTGTAAGACAGAGGCCGCTCTTACCTTAAATATCCACACGTCCTCTACTGTAATTCCCGGTACATTCATCCTTACGGAACTCCTTGGGAATCTAACTATAAAATATTATAATTATTACCTCTCAACATCTCATGTAATTAGATTACTGGTGAATGAAGTAATGATATTTGCGTATATTTAGGGATCTAGAGATAGGAATTTTGGAATGCGGTTTTGTCTTTAAAGATAGTGTATATCTTATATTTTAAACTATATTTCAAGAAATATTTTGTCCCCATTTCCTGATCTTCAGTCCATTTCTTGACCTTCTGCCTTAACTTACTCCGCAAGGCTCCTGCCTTAACTTACTCTGCAAGGCTCCTGCCTTAACTTACTCTGCAGGTTCCTACCTTACCTTAATATAGTTACCTCTGCAGGCTTCCTGCCAAGCATCCTCTTATCCTGTTGATAAGCCCTTGTTACTCCAAGTCTCAGTAGACAAGCTCACACTAGTCCTTTACCGCTCACCGCTTTTTGTAGGCTGTATACAGGTGTAAGCCTCCTCCTTCCCCCCCTTCCTCCTCCCTTCATTAATCCCTAATCCTCTCTGAACGGAGGTTTTCTCTTCCTCTTTGCCTCTCTTCTTTCATTCCCCTTCAAGTCTCTCTTCTTGATCTTTCCTTCTACTTCGTCCCTTTCTCAGTACCCACTCCATTTGCCCCTTTCCCTTATTTTATCATTCTTCGCTCTGTCTTCCATTCGTTACTGTCTACTCCTTCCCCAACATAACCCCCTTCCCCTCCCCCCACCCTAACATTGCCTCCTCCCTTCCCTTCGTCACCCCCCTTCCCTCCGTCACCCCACTTCCCTCCGTCACCCCCACTTCCCTCCGTCACCCCCACTTTCCCTCCGTCACCCCTTCCCTTCCCTCCGTCACCCCCCCCCCCTCCAACAAACCCCCGGCGGTATATACACATTGGACTTAGGAAAGAGAGGGGGAGTAAAAGCCCCCCTCCTCTCTTGAGCCACAGAAGTAGGGTGTGACATCTGTGAGCCACACCGTACAGGGTGTGCGGGGGCACTACTTACCAAGGTGTTTGTGGGCGTGGGGGTCGTTGGGCGCCAGAGCCACCGCCCGACGGAGCCACTGTTCCACCTCCTCCACACGACTTCCCTGAGGGAGACATAAACACCCTCACTCACAGTCTGATGGATCTGTTTAAACCATGTTATTTTATAGAGGTTGAATAATTTTGCCCCTCCCCTCCCCCCTGCGCATGAGCAAGATTCTGACGGTCCCTGACAATGGCCCTGAGGCTCCTAGCAATGGGCTAGGAGCCCTCCTAGCCCATTGAATACATGTCAATGGGCTAGGAGCCCTCCCAGCCAGCAATGGGCTAGAGGCTACTAGCACATAGCTGGTATCGGACATCTTAGCCAGTTACAGTTTGAGAAGACCCAACACTCCCGCTGAGGCGCTGGTCTGAAACGTCTCCACCTGCAAGGGACAGAATGGGATGCGAACATGACCGAGAAATTGATGACAGCGCCTCAACCTCTTCAATCAAGCTACTAAGAAAGCCTTGCACAGACTCATATTAAGCCGTGAGACGCGCCGAGATGTTTATTACTGAGCTTCTGCGAAAAATACAGGACCTACAAACACTATATAGTTTAGTTGAACAAAAAATCAAATACATGCAACTACGTTTTCTTCGGTGGTAATCACAAGCCACGTCAGAATACATGTCCTTCAAACACACGCAAAGGAATATTTTTGACCAGACCACACACTAGAAAGTGAAGGGACGACGACGACGTTTCGGTCCGTCCTGGACCATTCTCAAGTCGATTGTGACATAAATCGACTTGAGAATGGTCCAGGACGGACCGAAACGTCTTCGTCCCTTCACCTTCTAGTGTTTGGTCTGGTCAACATATTTCAGCCACGTTATTGTTGCTACTCGTCTGCAAAGGAATATTTACGTGTTGTGCAAGTGTCTCATTCCTGCACTTCTCGTCTGGGAGGGAGGCGGCTCGAACCGGCGCCCTGTTTACTCTCTGTGTCGACCAAAGGCCTCATATCGCTCCCAGCAATTAGACTTCAAAGGACGTCGTCGTGAGAGCGATGATTGGGGCCCGCTGTCCATGTTAGCCTTTGACCAGGGCCCCTAATCAAAGGCGTTGGGGGTCCCCGCCCCCTCCTTCTCGTGCTCAATAGTCGCCTATCTTCCCCCCAACACCTCCATTATCCACACTCACTCACCACTACCCTTATCCAAGATCCGGTTATTCCGCCCGCTGGATAATCCATCGCTACTCTGGATCATTGTTATCTGAAGGTGGTTGGTTTGAGGGAGGGGGGGGGCGTTATATCGAAGTGGGTGTTATTGAAGTTAGTCCTTATACACAGTATACCAGATGTCTGTCAGGCTTTTGAACTGGATGCTAGCTACTGAGAGTTCACATATTGAGCTATTCACATATTATTCACATATTAGTGAATATCACTGAGATATTCACATATTATTTGGTTTACCAAATGGCTCCCGTCCGGTTATGTTTACTGACATAACATGTATTTCAACTTTTATAATTCCGGTTTAATGAATTATCGTACTTAGCGATTCAGATTTAAGATCCAAAGAGAGACAAAGGGAAAGATAGAGCCTGAGACGGAAGATACCATTATTGATAACATCCGTGTGAATGCACAAACGTTTCTGTTGTCAGCCTATAGAGAGGCTCTTGAGGTGTGTCCTCTGTAGTCTGACAACATCGTGGACTACAGCGAGCGTCTCACCCATATTCTAAGACACTATCCCTGGAAACACAAACCGAAACTGTCTCTATTTTCCGCTTGCTACAACTTGTAATAAAGTTGTTACATCTTGGCTTAACGTGTTTATGACGTATTAGAACGTTGTTACAACTTGCTATATTGGTTGTTATAACTGGTTAGGAGGTGTTAAACCTTGTTCGAACGTTGCACCAACGTCGTAGTTTCGGTGTGTGTTTGGCGGGGTATAACTTTCAAACTCTTAAAACAATCAAATTCATACCGAGTCTGGTTATCTTGAGGTTATCTTGAGATGATTTCGGGGCTTTTTAGTGTCCCCGCGGCCCGGTCCTTGACCAGGCCTCCACCCCCAGGAAGCAGCCCGTGACAGCTGACTAACTCCCAGGTACCTATTTACTGCTAGGTAACAGGGGCATTCAGGGTGAAAGAAAATTTGCCCATTTGTTTCTGCCTCGTGCGGGAATCGAACCCGCGCCACAGAATTACGAGTCCTGCGCGCTATCCACCAGGCTACGAGGCCCCCTTATCCTGGTATCCTCAAAATACTTAAATATTCTCATTTACTTTAAGAATATATAATATTCTTCCCCTCTGGATACATATTACAGATTACAGATTACAACAACTCAGAGAGTAATAACTTTTCTTACTCTCTGAGTAACTTTTAAGACAATAAGTTTTATTTGTATTATATGAGGGGGAAAATTTAGCAAATAATATATGTAATAATAATAATAATAATAATAATAATAATAATAATAATAATAATAATAATATTTTAAATATTATGCAAATTAGTCAGTGTTCTCACAAGCAGCACATGACGCGAGGGCACGAGATCAGGCAGCAGCAGCAGCAGCAGCAGACTGAAGATGGATGCCAGGGAGGGGGAGAACCCCACAATGGGGGAGAGGGAGGGAGAACCCCAGGGTGGGGGAGAGGGAGAGAGAACCCCAGGGAGGGGGAGAGGGAGAGAACCCCAGTGAGGGTGAGGTAACCTTGAGGTGATTTCGGGGCTTAGGGACCCCGTGGTCCGGTCGTCGACCAGGCCTCCTAGGAGAGGCCAGACCAGACGAGGACAACGTACGTACAACGTACCGACGATTAACGAAGTTAGAAAGTAGAAATCTGAACTATTGAGTCGGACAAACTTAAAAATTATGTTTTACTTGGGTTGTTTTGACAAACTAAACTAACCTCCCTAGGCCTAATACACGATATCTGAGGCCTAATATAGTACACATGTGTGCTATACTAGGCCTAGGAATATTTAAGTTTGCTTTTAGCTTCATTTATTTTAAAAGATTTCCTTTTCTCAGAAGTCAGGCCTGGCCTCGGGCCGGGCTTGGGGAGTAGGACTCCCAGAACCCCACCAAGCAGGTATCATCCAGGTTAGGCTAGGTTAGGTTAAGTTAGGTAAGGTTAGATTAGGTTAGATAAGTTTGATCGAACTTGTATGTTAGTTTTAACTCAAATAAAACAGATTAAATTATGTGCAGTGTAATGGAATGCTTTGTCATTTCATCATTTCATAAGAAATAAATTTGGAAAACATATAACTTCAGGAAAACTCTGGCAATTATTGGGCAAACCTGGCCTTGCATATATATATATATATATATATATATATATATATATATATATATATATATATATATATATATATATATATATATATATATATATATATGTCGTACCTAGTAGCCAGAACGCACTTCTCAGCCTACTATGCAAGGCCCGATTTGCCTAATAAGCCAAGTTTTCCTGAATTAATTTATTTTCTCAATTTGTTTTCTTATGAAATGATAAAGCTACCCATTTCATTATGTATGAGGTAATTTTTTTTTTTATTGGAATTAAAATTAACGTAGATATATGACCGAACCTAACCAACCCTACCTAACCTAACCTAACCTATCTTTATAGGTTAGGTTAGGTTAGGTAGCCGAAAAAGTTAGGTTACGTTAGGTTAGGTAGGTTAGGTAGTCGAAAAACAATTAATTCATGAAAACTTGGCTTATTAGGCAAATCGGGCCTTGCATAGTAGGCTGAGAAGTGAGTTCTGGCTACTAGGTACGACATATATATATATATATATATATATATATATATATATATATATATATATATATATATATATATATATATATATATATATAATATGGTTTTTAAATGATGATTGTATTCATGCACATGTATTGTATAAGCTGTAATACAACTGTATCAATTAAATACATATATCATACCAACTGAGGACGTGCTCTTGGAGAGGGGAAAGGAATTATCAGGGAAAGCGCCAAGCCATTACGACTATATACCACTTCTATAGAGTCAGGATTTGGCATGTGACGGGGGGGGGGATGGAATGGTGCCCCACCCCTTAGAAGGTCGGGGATTGAACGCCGACCTGCATGAAGCTCTACCGTCGCTCTACCGACTTACATTTGCCTGCAACATCCTGGAGAATGTGAGATGGGCGGGGATGTGGTGCGGGTGGGCGGCGAGGGCGCGGGAGAGGGCGGCTTGGGCCTCTGCGTGCTCCCCGGCCTCCAGGTGGGCCTCGGCGGCCAGGGTGTGCAGGGAGTGGGTGCCGTACCCGTCGGGGGCGTGCGTGAGGGCGTGCGCCACCTCCTCCAGGGCGGCGTGTGGGCGGCCGGATAGGATGTGCGCCCTGGCCAGCCTCTGGCGACAGGTGGTGACGGCCCAGCTGTGGCTCCAGCTGTCCCTAGCAGGTGCTGAGCCGGTCCCACGGCACGCCTCTAACACCTGTGGTGCATACAGCTGTTTACATCTGGCTACATATCTGTTTGCTGGTCCCTGGCTACACACACACACCTGTTACTGGCAGGTGTGCCTGGCTACACACACCTGTTACCTGTTACTGGCAGCTGTGCCTGGCTACACACACCTGTTACTGGCAGCTGTGCCTGGCTACACACACACCTGTTACTGGCAGCTGTACCTGGCTGCACACACACCTGTTACTGGCAGCTGTACCTGGCTACACACACCTGTTACTGACAGCTGTGCCTGGCTACACACACCTGTTACTGGCAGCTCTGCCTGGCTACACACACCTGTTACTGGCAGCTCTGCCTGGCTACACACACACACCTGTTACTGGCAGCTGTGCCTGGCTACACACACACCTGTTACTGGCAGCTGTGCCTGGCTACACACACACCTGTTCATGGCAGCTGTGCCCGGCTACACACACCTGTTACTGGCAGCTCTGCCTGGCTACACACACACCTCTTACTGGCAGCTCTGCCTGGCTACACACACACCTGTTACTGGCAGCTCTGCCTGGCTACACACACACCTGTTACTGGCAGCTCTGCCTGGCTACACACACACCTGTTACTGACAGCTCTGCCTGGCTACACACACACACCTGTTACTGACAGCTCTGCCTGGCTACACACACACACCTGTTACTGACAGCTCTGCCTGGCTACACACACACCTGTTACTGACAGCTCTGCCTGGCTACACACACACCTGTTACTGACAGCTCTGCCTGGCTACACACACACCTGTTACTGGCAGCTGTGCCTGGCTACACACACACCTGTTACTGGCAGCTGTGCCTGGCTACACACACACCTGTTACTGGCAGCTGTGCCTGGTTACACACACCTGTTACTGGCAGCTGTGCCTGGCTACACACACACCCTGTTACTGGCAGCTGTACCTGGTTACACACACACACCTGTTACTGGCAGCTGTGCCTGGTTACACACACACACCTGTTACTGGCAGCTCTGCCTGGCTACACACACACACCTGTTACTGGCAGCTGTACCTGGCTACACACACCTGTTACTGGCAGCTGTGCCTGGCTACACACACACCTGTTACTGGCAGCTCTGCCTGGTTACACACACCTGCTATTTCACTCACAATTAACTCATCCATAATAACATTGACATGTTATCTTGATAACGTTAGCTTCTCATCTCAGGTCTGGTGATATCTCCTAGGTGCTACTGAGAAATATTTTGTATATTTTGGCTACTCAAATTTCTAAGTTAGATTTGAATCAATAAATAACAAATCCCAGGCATGAAAATTATATAGAAAATTTGTATTATTCCATTTTTTAAATTTAATATTTAGAAAAATTTATTTTTGTATTTGTTTTTAATTTTTAAAATTTAAAAAAATAAGAATGCTACGATCCCGAACTGGTTTCGAACCTGAATTAGTAGGGTTGACCTTGTGTATACAGTACCAGTACCGCGTCCCCAGTGATTGGCTATAAGGATTGGTTAGTCCCCATCATATATAATAAGAGATTAATGAAGAAAGTCCATTAGCAATACACCATCCACTCCCCTTATACCAGGAGAGAGGCCTGTAGGCCTACCTTAATGGCCTCAGCGTGGCGCCCCAGCTGCTGTAGGGCTCCTGCCAGGCCTAGGTGGGCCTGTGCCAGCCACGGCCGACTCCAGAGTGCTGCTCGGTAGCTGTCTATCGCCTCCTGCGGCCGACCCGTAGACGCCAACAGCAGTCCTCTGTCGGGAGAGTGAAGGTTCTGTGGCGCATGACAGATATCATGCCCGGAGATCCTTGCAGCAGGATGGGTATCGAACCAACGTTCTGGGTAGTCCCAGTCGCGTTCTATTCCTGTCCTCCTTCAATAATCTTTTAGATCTATGTGTGTGTGTGTGTGTGTGTGTGTGTGTGTGTGTGTGTGTACTCACCTAGTTGTGTTTGCGGGGGTTGAGCTCTGGCTCTTTGGTCCCGCCTCTCAACCGTCAATCAACAGGTGTACAGATTCCTGAGCCTATCGGGCTCTGTCATATCTACACTTGAAACTGTGTATGGAGTCAGCCTCCACCACATCACCCCCTAATGCATTCCATTTGTCAACCACTCTGACACTAAAAAAGTTCTTTCTAATATCTCTGTGGCTCATTTGGGCACTCAGTTTCCACCTGTGTCCCCTTGTGCGTGTTCCCCTTGTGTTAAATAGACTGTCTTTATCTACCCTATCAATCCCCTTCAGAATCTTGAATGTGGTGATCATGTCCCCCCTAACTCTTCTGTCTTCCAGCGAAGTGAGGTTTAATTCCCGTAGTCTCTCCTCGTAGCTCATACCTCTCAGCTCGGGTACTAGTCTGGTGGCAAACCTTTGAACCTTTTCCAGTTTAGTCTTATCCTTGACTAGATATGGACTCCATGCTGGGGCTGCATACTCCAGGATTGGCCTGACATACGTGGTATACAAAGTTCTGAATGATTCTTTACACAAGTTTCTGAATGCCGTTCGTATATTGGCCAGTCTGGCATATGCCGCTGATGTTATCCGCTTGATATGTGCTGCAGGAGACAGGTCTGGCGTGATATCAACCCCCAAGTGTTTTTCCTTCTCTGACTCCAGAGAAGTGTGTGTGTGTGTGTGTGTATGTGTGTGTGTAAATCACGAAAATTAATACGTCATGGAAAAATGTGGCAGTGTCTGACCACGAAGGAAGAATTTAAAAAGGAAATTCCTTAAACCACCATGAAACCGTCAACTCTCGTTTCAATGCACTCAACTCTCGCCTCAAAGCACTCAACTCTCGTTTCAATGCACTCAACTCTCGTTTCAATGCACTCAACTCTCGTTTCAATGCACTCAACTCTCGTCTCAATGCACTCAACACTCGCCTCAATGCATTCAACTCTCGGTTCAATGCACTCAACTCTCGTTTCAATACTCAACTCTCGTCTCAATGCACTCAACTCTCGTCTCAATGCACTCAACTCTCGCCTCAATGCACTCAACTCTCGCCTCAGCACTGCACTCAACTCTCGCCTCAATGCACTCAACTCTCGCCTCAATGCACTCAACTCTCGCCTCAATGCACTCAACTCTCGCCTCAATGCACTCAACTCTCGCCTCAGCACTGCACTCAACTCTCGCCTCAATGCACTCAACTCTCGCCTCAATGCACTCAACTCTCGCCTCAATGCACTCAACTCTCGTCTCAATGCACTCAACTCTCGTTTCAATGCACTCAACTCTCGCCTCAATGCACTCAACTCTCGTTTCAATGCACTCAACTCTCGCCTCAATGCACTCAACTCTCGCCTCAATGCACTCAACTCTCGCCTCAATGCACTCAACTCTCGCCTCAATGCACTCAACTCTCGCCTCAATGCACTCAACTCTCGTCTCAATGCACTCAACTCTCGCCTCAATGCACTCAACTCTCGCCTCAATGCACTCAACTCTCGCCTCAATGCTAACTCATCGTTTTGACAATCTTTGATTTGCCACAAAGCAAATCCCTAAGTAAGTCTGTCACGACATATTTGTACACATCAATAATCTCTTTACTAGTACCCGAAAATCTTTACTGATAACAGGTGTACTGCAAGGCACGATAACAGGTGTACTACAAGGCACGATAACAGGTGTACTACAATGCAAGGTTTCCTACTCCTTAGCAACATACTTCATAAGACTCATAAACGGCGTGATCGATGTTGCACAATCGTTTCCACTCACACCACACAAACTCCCGCAATTCGTGAGAGGTGTGAAAAGTGGTCGTACAGTTAGGATCTTTCGTTGGGTCGTTCTGCTTAGATGTTGATATCTTGCTATCTTCTTTCAGGGGGGGGGGGGTGTTTGGTCTCACTTCCCCTCTCGGGGCCGCTATCTGTGTCATCATACGATGACACAGATATGATGACACATGTATGATGTATCATCATATTGTCATCATACACTTGTATGATGACAAACTTGGTCTTAATGGTCTATGTTATATCATAAATATTATGTCATTATAATGATCCAAGTAAAGCAATCCAATTACCATTTTATTGATTATATTTGATTCAAATTCTTTAGTAAATTAAATCAATTATAAATACTTGACGATTTTATGCATTTATACATTTTCATAAAATTGTATAAATGTAAAATAAATTAATGAAGTAGTTAGTACTGCTACTGTTGTTGTCATTACTGTTACTGTTGTTGTCATTACTGCTACTGTTGTTGTCATTACTGTTACTGTTGTTGTCATTACTGTTACTGTTGTTGTCATTACTGTTACTGTTGTTGTCATTACTGTTACTGTTGTTGTCATTACTGCTACTGTTGTTGTCATTACTGTTACTGTTGTTGTCATTACCACTACTGTTGTTGTCATTACTGTTACTGTTGTTGTCATTACTGTACTGTTGTTGTCATTACTGCTACTGTTGTTGTCATTACTGTTACTGTTGTTGTCATTACTGTTACTGTTGTTGTCATTACTGTTACTGTTGTTGTCATTACTGTTACTGTTGTTGTCATTACTGTTACTGTTGTTGTCATTACTGTTACTGTTGTTGTCATTACTGTTACTGTTGTTGTCATTACTGTTACTGTTGTTGTCATTACTGTTACTGTTGTTGTCATTACTGCTACTGTTGTTGTCATTACTGCTACTGTTGTTGTCATTACTTGTTGTCATTACTGTTGTTGTCATTACTGTTACTGTTGTTGTCATTACTGTTACTGTTGTTGTCATTACTGTTGTTGTCATTACTGTTACTGTTGTTGTCATTACTGTTACTGTTGTTGTCATTACTGCTACTGTTGTTGTCATGTTACTGTTGTTGTCATTACTGTTGTTGTCATTACTGCTACTGTTGTTGTCCTTACTGTTGTTGTCATTACTGCTACTGTTGTTGTCATTACTGTTACTGTTGTTGTCATTACTGCTTACTGTTGTTGTCATTACTGTTACTGTTGTTGTCATTACCACTACTGTTGTTGTCATTACTGTTACTGTTGTTGTCATTACTGCTACTGTTGTTGTCATTACTGTCATACTGTTGTTGTCATTACTGCTACTGTTGTTGTCATTACTGTTACTGTTGTTGTCATTACTGTTACTGTTGTTGTCATTACTGTTACTGTTGTTGTCATTACTGCTACTGTTGTTGTCATTACTGTTACTGTTGTTGTCATTACCACTACTGTTGTTGTCATTACTGTTACTGTTGTTGTCATTACCACTACTGTTGTTGTCATTACTGCTACTGTTGTTGTCATTACTGTTACTGTTGTTGTCATTACCGCTACTGTTGTTGTCATTACTGTTACTGTTGTTGTCATTACCACTACTGTTGTTGTCATTACTGTTACTGTTGTTGTTGTCATTACCCCTACTGTTGTTGTCATTACTGTTACTGTTGTTGTCATTACTGTTACTGTTGTTGTCATTACCACTACTGTTGTTGTCATTACTGTTACTGTTGTTGTCATTACTGTTACTGTTGTTGTCATTACCGCTACTGTTGTTGTCATTACCACTACTGTTGTTGTCATTACTGTTACTGTTGTTGTCATTACTGTTACTGTTGTTGTCATTACTGTTACTGTTGTTGTCATTACTGCTACTGTTGTTGTCCTTACCGCTACTGTTGTTGTCATTACTGCTACTGTTGTTGTCATTACCGCTACTGTTGTTGTCATTACTGCTACTGTTGTTGTCATTACCGCTACTGTTGTTGCCATTACTGCTTCTGTTGTTGTCATTACTGCTACTGTTGTTGTCATTACTGCTACTGTTGTTGTCATTACTGCTACTGTTGTTGTCATTACCGCTACTGTTGTTGTCATTACTGCTACTGTTGTTGTCATTACTGTTACTGTTGTTGTCATTACCGCTACTGTTGTTGTCATTACTGTTACTGTTGTTGTCATTACCACTACTGTTGTTGTCATTACTGTTATTGTTTTTGTCATTACTGTTACTGTTGTTGTCATTACTGTTACTGTTGTTGTCATTACTGTTACTGTTGTTGTCATTACCGCTACTGTTGTTGTCATTACCACTACTGTTGTTGTCATTACTGTTACTGTTGTTGTCATTACTGTTACTGTTGTTGTCATTACTGTTACTGTTGTTGTCATTACCACTACTGTTGTTGTCATTACTGTTACTGTTGTTGTCATTACCGCTACTGTTGTTGTCATTACCACTACTGTTGTTGTCATTACTGTTACTGTTGTTGTCATTACCGCTACTGTTGTTGTCATTACTGCTACTGTTGTTGTCATTACCACTACTGTTGTTGTCATTACTGTTACTGTTGTCATTACTGCTACTGTTGTTGTCATTACTGTTACTGTTGTTGTCATTACTGTTACTGTTGTTGTCATTACCGCTACTGTTGTTGTCATTACCACTACTGTTGTTGTCATTACTGCTACTGTTGTTGTCATTACTGTTATTGTTGTTGTCATTACTGCTACTGTTGTTGTCATTACCACTACTGTTGTTGTCATTACTGCTACTGTTGTTGTCATTACCGCTACTGTTGTTGTCATTACTGTTACTGTTGTTGTCATTACCGCTACTGTTGTTGTCATTACTGCTACTGTTGTTGTCATTACCACTACTGTTGTCATTACCACTACTGTTGTCATTACCACTACTGTTGTCATTACCACTAACGTTGCTATTACCACTATACATCAATTTACCAATATATATTATATCACCTCACAAATTGTAAGCTAAATGTTTTTCTAGTTATGTCTAAGAGTTTGGCTCGTACAAGTGCACTTGTTCAATCCGTCCTCTTAAGTTAGCTCGTTTGCTCGTATGGCCAAACATGGACGTAATATGAAATGAAATCGGCTCACGAAAGTGATGTACTGTCCCGTTTTCTATTTTGAGTACCCCCGGCTTACTCGTTCAGGTTAGGAGAGGAAACTTTCAATTAACGTTTTTCATGACGTTTTGAAACCTTAGGAGAAATTCCTTCCCTCCTAACCTACCAGAGGACCCTTAACTTGCTGTTTTAGAAAAAAAAATCAGAGTTTATTTTCAATTATTTTTCATTTTCATATTACGTCCATTTTTGGTCATACGTGCAAATGGCCAAATTCAGAAGTAGTTTGCAAGAAAACAGGTTGACTTGTTCAGTCCAGCCAGAACTCAAATCATTATAAGTTGTTATTTATATGCAGCTACATAATCGTATATAATCGTAATCATATATATATATATATATATATATATATATATATATATATATATATATATATATATATATATATATATATATATATAATTACTATAAGTTATATGTTATATAAAGTTTGTTTTGCATAATCTGTTACGTTTAAAGCTGCTAACCTTTGTAAACTACAAGGCCAAAAAAAAGCTTCTGATTTGTATAAACTGTTGTGAATAGAGCCTGTAAATGTAAATCTAAGCTTACATATTAAATGTAAATCTAAGCTTACAGATTAAAGTGGGTGTCCGCCATGGTGGGAGCGTGGCTGAGGGCCCCGCGGTAGGCCGCCTCCGCCTCCTGTAGCCGCCCCTGTTCGCTGTAAACCACTCCCAGGTTGGACAAGGCTGTTACGGGAGAGACAAAATACGTGACATGAGAGAGTGAGAGAACCTGTGTCAAGGGAGAAAGAGAGAGAACACATATATTAATCGCAGGGAATATATCTCTTTTTTTTATTTGTTTACACCCAGATCTTAAAAATTGGAGTATGTGGGTGGGATATACAGATATAGCCCACATACTCATACAGTCACTTGTACATAAGTATACATACACATACACGTAACTCATAAGTATGGCCTGAATAATAGCAGCTCTGGATGTGTGCAGCATTAAATAATTGTGAGATTGTAATTTACTGGACGTTCGAACCTCTCCCCCCTTGAGTAAGACCACAGTCGATACCCCGTAATGGAAGGGGGGTAGGGAGGAAAGGGGTGGGGGAGGGAAGGAGGGGAAGGGAAGGGGGAGGCAAACAGTCACAACGCGTTGCATTACAAAGGGGCGAGAGGGGCAGGACAACGAGCAGTGGATCAACCGGATGCAACAGGAGCGGCAGACCGGATGCAACAGGAGCAAGGAGATGTGGATGATGGTAACAGACCGGATGCAACAGGGGCAAGGAGAGGTGGATGATGGTAACAGACCGGATGCAACAGGAGCAAGGAGAGGTGGATGATGGTAACAGACCGGATGCAACAGGAGCAAGGAGAGGTGGATGACCCCCAACAGTCGCCACAGGGAGGAGGAAGACACAAAGTCGTGGACTATCTGAAGATTTTTGACCGACATTGATGAGTAGGAAGTCATCATGTTATCATGTTGTGTGTCACCACACACACATATATAACCTCTATTTGGACTGACTTACAGGTAGGTAGTAGTGGATATTGGGACGTTTCCTCTATTTATTGGCTCTGGAACCTTCTACAAGGCGAAGACGTTTCTGCCCATCCTGGCGTCACAGGAATGATGATATTGTCAACCAATGACTGGCACGGCGGCCCAAAGGCTTCTTATGATTGGCTACAGCTCACCTGCCTTGGCCAGCAGAGAAAAAGAGTGGAAGCATTTTGGCTTTCAACTTGGTAGATATGGATAAAAAACTCAATAACTTCAGAAGGAAGCACGCAGCAGACGTATCAGTGGAGAGAGAAGCAACTCAAGCACTCTGAAGAGTGTGTTGCTTATCTTGCACTCTGAAGAGCCTAGAGTATCGCCACTCGCGAGTACGGATGAGTGACCGCCTCGAGAGAGGGTCCCGGGGAGCGAGTGACGATCTCCACGCCCCCGCAGGAGTCGACACCTGACAACAACAGTCAGGTCGAGACACTCACACCAACGCGCCATCAAATAACGAACAGTGTCAACTCATGGTGGCGGTGACAGTTTGTGTTTATGAGTCGTGGCGTGACAACAGATCCAGGGGCCAGATTCACGAAGCACTTACGCAAGCACTTACGAACGTGTACATCTTTCCTCAATCTTTGACGGCTTTGTTTACAATTATTTAACAGTTTAAAAGCATGAAAACTTGCCAATCAACTGTTGTTATTGTTATAAACAGCCTCCTGGTGCTTCGGAGCTCATTAACTGCTTAATAACTGTAAACAAAGCCGCCAAAAATTGAGAAAAGATGTACAGGTTCGTAAGTGCTTGCGTAACTGCTTCGCGAATCTGGCCCCAATCCCAGGACTCACGAAACAGTTACGAATCTTTCCTTAATCTCGTACATCTTTCCTCAATATTCGTGGCGTGGCTTTCAATTCACGAAAAGTTTACGACCTCCTCACAACTCACAACCGGCGAGTATATTGTTGTTACAAACAACCTGGCAGCGCCTTGGAGCTCATAACCTTGTAAACAGATGCCAACAACCCCGTCATGGGTGAGAAAAGATGTAAAGGTTTCGTATGAGGTTGACGCACCTACTCCAGTGGCTATTTGGCCATGCCACTTGCCACGGTATTAAGAGTACTTGCCATAGTATTAAGAGTACTTGCCATGGTATTAAGAGTACTTGCCATGGTATTACGAGTACTTGCCATGGTATTAAGTGTACTTGCCACGGTATTAAGAGTACTTGCCATGGTATTAAGTGTACTTGCCACGGTATTAAGAGTACTTGCCAAGGTATTAAGAGTACTTGCCATGGTATTAAGAGTACTTGCCATGGTATTAAGAGTACTTGCCATGGTATTAAGTGTACTTGCCACGGTATTAAGAGTACTTGCCATAGTATTAAGAGTACTTGCCATGGTTTTAAGAGTACTTGCCATGGTATTAAGAGTACTTGCCATGGTATTAAGAGTACTTGCCAAGGTATTAAGAGTACTTGCCATGGTATTAAGAGTACTTGCCACGGAATTAAGAATACTTGCCACGGTATTAAGAGTACTTGCCACGGTATTAAGAGTACTTGCCACGGTATTAAGAGTACTTGCCACGGTATTAAGAGTACTTGCCATGGTATTAAGAGTACTTGCCATGGTATTAAGAGTACTTGCCACGGTACTAAGAGTACTTGCCACGGTACTAAGAGTACTTGCCACGGTACTAAGAGTACTTGCCACGGTACTAAGAGTACTTGCCATGATACTAAGAGTACTTCCAACGGTACTAAGAGTTCTTGCTACGGTACTAAGAGTACTTGCCATGGTACTAAGAGTACTTGCCATGGTACTAAGAGTACTTGCCATGGTACTAAGAGTACTTGCCACGGTACTAAGAGTACTTGCCATGGTACTAAGAGTACTTGCCATGGCACTAAGAGTACTTGCCATGGTACTAAGAGTACTTGCCATGGTACTAAGAGTACTTGCCATGGTACTAAGAGTACTTGCCACGGTACTAAGAGTACTTGCCACGGTATTAAGAGTACTTGCCACGGTACTAAGAGTACTTGCCATGGTACTAAGAGTACTTGCCATGGTACTAAGAGTACTTGCCATGGTACTAAGAGTACTTGCCACGGTATTAAGAGTACTTGCCATGGTATTAAGAGTACTTGCCATGGTATTAAAAGTACTTGCCATGGTATTAAGAGTACTTGCCATGGTATTAAAAGTACTTGCCATGGTACTAAGAGTACTTGCCATGGTACTAAGAGTACTTGCCACGGTACTAAGAGTACTTGCCACGGTACTAAGAGTACTTGCCACGGTACTAAGAGTACTTGCCACGGTATTAAGAGTACTTGGTATTCAGAGTACTTGCATGGTATTAAAAGTACTTGCCATGGTATTAAGAGTACTTGCCATGGTATTAAGAGTACTTGCCATGGTATTAAGAGTACTTGCCACGGTACTAAGAGTACTTGCCATGGTACTAAGAGTACTTGCCATGGTACTAAGAGTACTTGCAACGGTACTAAGAGTTTGCTTGCTACGGTACTAAGAGTACTTGCCACGGTACTAAGAGTACTTGCCACGGTACTAAGAGTACTTGCCATGGTACTAAGAGTACTTGCCACGGTACTAAGAGTACTTGCCACGGTACTAAGAGTACTTGCCATGGTACTAAGAGTACTTGCCATGGCACTAAGAGTACTTGCCATGGTACTAAGAGTACTTGCCATGGTGCTAAGAGTACTTGCCATGGTACTAAGAGTACTTGCCACGGTACTAAGAGTACTTGCCACGGTATTAAGAGTACTTGCCACGGTACTAAGAGTACTTGCCATGGTATTAAGAGTACTTGCCATGGTATTAAAAGTACTTGCCATGGTATTAAGAGTACTTGCCACGGTATTAAAAGTACTTGCCATGGTATTAAGAGTACTTGCCATAGTATTAAAAGTACTTGCCATGGTATTAAGAGTACTTGCCATGGTATTAAAAGTACTTGCCATGGTACTAAGAGTACTTGCCATGGTACTAAGAGTACTTGCCACGGTACTAAGAGTACTTGCCACGGTATTAAGAGTACTTGCCACGGTACTAAGAGTACTTGCCATGGTATTAAGAGTACTTGCCATGGTATTAAAAGTACTTGCCATGGTATTAAGAGTACTTGCCATGGTATTAAGAGTACTTGCCACGGTATTAAGAGTACTTGCCACGGTACTATGAGTACTTGCCATGGTACTAAGAGTACTTCCCCGGTACTAAGAGTACTTGCAACGGTACTAAGAGTTCTTGCTACGGTACTAAGAGTACTTGCCACGGTACTAAGAGTACTTGCCACGGTACTAAGAGTACTTGCCATCGGTTACTTACTAAGAGTACTTGCCACGGTACTAAGAGTACTTGCCACGGTACTAAGAGTACTTGCCATGGTACTAAGAGTACTTGCCACGGTACTAAGAGTACTTGCCATGGTACTAAGAGTACTTGCCATGGTACTAAGAGTACTTGCCATGGTACTAAGAGTACTTGCCACGGTACTAAGAGTACTTGCCAACTAAGAGTACTTGCCTAAGAGTACTTGCCATGGTACTAAGAGTACTTGCCATGGTACTAAGAGTACTTGCCATGGTACTAAGAGTACTTGCCATGGTACTAAGAGTACTTGCCACCCGGTACTAAGAGTACTTGCCACGGTACTAAGAGTACTTGCCACGGTACTAAGAGTACTTGCCATGGTACTAAGAGTACTTGCCATGGTACTAAGAGTACTTGCCATGGTACTAAGAGTACTTGCCATGGTACTAAGAGTACTTGCCACCACGGTACTAAGAGTACTTGCCACGGTACTAAGAGTACTTGCCACGGTACTAAGAGTACTTGCCATGGTACTAAGAGTACTTGCCATGGTACTAAGAGTACTTGCCATGGTACTAAGAGTACTTGCCACGGTACTAAGAGTACTTGCCACGGTACTAAGAGTACTTGCCACGGTACTAAGAGTACTTGCCATGGTACTAAGAGTACTTGCCATGGTACTAAGAGTACTTGCCATGGTACTAAGAGTACTTGCCATGGTACTAAGAGTACTTGCCACGGTACTAAGAGTACTTGCCATGGTACTAAGAGTACTTGCCATGGTACTAAGAGTACTTGCCATGGTACTAAGAGTACTTGCCATGGTACTAAGAGTACTTGCCACGGTACTAAGAGTACTTGCCACGGTA